GGACTCATGCCTCTGCTCCGTGACACAGCTCGCCACCTTACAAAGCATTTGGAGTTCACCCAGACACATGGCCCTCCCAGAAGTGTTAATGAGTGAGCAGCTGCCACTGAGGACACGCAGCCTGCAAGCCCAGCTGTGCCTGTCCCGGGAAACCCTGGGGTGGGAGTAAAGATTAATCCCTCACATGCTGGACCAGGCAGAGGAGGGAAATGGTGAAGTCACCACTGATAGGTCCCTCAGGCTTGGAGCCTGCCCACTGCCACCCACCCCTGCCCTTACCAACCTCAGGTGCTGTTTCCTTCCCATGCAATTGCTTGAAATGTATTTAAATCAAAAGATTGCTCTGCACTGGTCTGAGGGCCTGGCTGCGTAAATATCCAAATTTATTCAACCATCTCATGACGGTGAAGTAGGTGAACCCACAGCATTTGGTCCCTTCTCCTTGGCTGGGTCTCAGAAAGAAATAAACCATTTAGAGGTAACTGTCCCCTTCTGAGCAAAAGTCTTAGGGAAAGAAGCAGTGATTCTGGTTCTGCCCGGAAGGATGGGGACAGGAGAAGGCTGGCAGCAGAGAACACAGAGGAGAAACACCGCCCACATGTGCCATGACTCCAGCCATGTCCCGGGGGAGAAATGGCCCCAGTCACACCCTCATCCTGCCTCATCTGACCCAGTGTGATCACAATGGGGACCCAACCCTTCTGATCAACTCACCCCAAGAAGACAGAGACCCTCTTAGCTGGGAAGCCACCTGTACCACACTTCTGTAAGCTGTATCCCTCTTAGAGAGATGGGAGAACCATCTCTCTGGACAAGGAGGAGGGTGTGCACGCGCTGGTGGGGCCCATTTGTACATTGGTGGGGAGGGAACATCTGCGAGTTTATTCTTTTCTTACCTGCCTCAGAACTGTGATGGAGACCTGACTCAGTAACCAGGGGATGAGCGGGGAAGGTCTGATATAGACTGCAAGGCACTGAGCCCACACTAACAATGCAGCTTGCTTTCCACGTGTCCGACATCATTTTCATTCCTCAGTTTGTCCCCTACTTCCTTTCTTTGTGTTACATAGACATTTCCTAGTCTACCATTTGATCCTTCCTTCCTTCCTTCCCTCCCTTTCGCCTTCCTTTTTTGAGACTGAGTCTCACTCCTTCACCTGGGTTGAGTGCTATGGCATCATCACAGCTCACAGCAACCTCAGACTCCTGGGCTCAAGTGATCCTCTTGCCTCACCCTCCCCAGTAGCTGGGACTATAGGTGCCTGCCATAATGTCTGGCTAATTTTTCTATTTTTAGTAGAGGCAGGGTTTTGCTCTTCCTCAGGCTCAAGTGATCCTCCTACTTCGGCTTCCCAGAGTGGTAGGATTACAGGTGTGAGCCACTGTGCCCACCTGAAAATCAGATATTTTTAATATAATAATGTGAGAGTCTGACAATCAGACTCTCCCTGCTCCCCAGGGCTCACTGCTGCTTGCAGTTGTTTATATATGTTTGTTTAGTGCCCTTCTGAATTGATTTTGTAAAGTTCTTATTCTTTGTTGTGTGTGACAGCTGAATTCTCTGTTCAGTTAGCTGAGTAGTCATCAGGGATTTTCTTAAGAGCCTGAAAGCAAAAAAAAGAAGAAAAAAAACCCCTCCTAGCCTGAAGTTCACAGCTCTGCCTTAGCCCTCATTTCTTGCATGTGCCAAGTCTGACGGTCAGACAGAAGCTAGAGTTTGGGGCTGGCCTTTCCTGGGTCTTCTCTGCGTATGCATTCAACCCTGGGTGGTCATATGGCCTCCTAGAACCACAGGAATGGTTTGGAGCTTTCCAAAGCCCTTTCTTCCTGAAGTACCTCCTTCTCTAGTCTTCTTGCCAAGCATTTTGGTTTTACTGTTTGCTCCAAAAGGTAATGGCTAATACTTTTGCCTTTCAACTTGTCCAACAACTTTCCTGCTCTACTCTGGAAGAGTTCCAAGTTAGTCTAAATAAAGGCAAGTCCTTTGAGCCAGTCCTTCAGGGAGCTACCAAACAGGTCCATGAAGCCATCATAATTCTTTGAGAACAAAGTCCACTCAGCTCTGGTTGGTACTGGAAACCCACACCAGGAAGGGAGCCTGTGGTCTTCCAGGCTGCCACTGAGCTAGGGAGTGGGCAATCCGCCAGGGTTAAGTTAATGTGCCACAAAGCTCTCACTGGGATTAGCTGCTTTCTTCTGAGTAAGCATTTCACTTGGTGTACACTTTTAATGAGTTTCCAAAGTTCTACTCCTATAGATGATTCTGGCAGTTTTTGCCAGCTTATTCTCTGCTTTTGTTGGGGGATAGACTTTTGGAGTTCTCTATTCAACCATTTTTGCTGATACCTGCCAGCTTATTATTTTTTGAAGTAAAAAGAAAACTTGGGTTACATTCAAGAGTTTCCTTAAATAAAGAAAACCAGCT